CAAAGCAGCGCTGGGTGGGGTGCGTACCCCCACACTGCTCACCCGCACGGTCGCCGGTGCGCAGGACGTAGGTGCACGGACCAAAGCCCCCACCCCGCTGGCGTGCAGTGTACCACTCACGGAGCTGCTGAGGGGACAAGGTCTCACGACCGCGGCGCTGCTGCTGGCGCGGACCACCACCGGAGCCACTTCTCTGCGTAGACCCGTGACCAGCTGCACCGCCACCCCCGCTGCCTCCGCTACTACCGCCGCCTCCGCCGCCTCCTTCACCGCCACCACCTCCGCCACCTCCGCTCCCACCGCCACCGCCGCCGCCGCCTCCGCCTCCACTGCTGCCACCGACACTTCCACTCCCACCTCCACTCCCACCGCCACCCCCACTCCCCCCGCCGCCTCCACCTCCACCTCCACCGCCCCCGCTCGCTCCTCCAGCGCCCCTGCCTCCCTTGCCCCTGCCAGAGCGGCGTCTCCCGCTAGAGGCAGACGCCGCACCTACCGACTCAAGACCAAGTAATGAAAGTGATACAAGTATGCAACCCTAGCATTGTGTACCCCATAAAAAGGCTACCCCACTACAGCCTACACAACATTATAATTTGACAAAGCCAGTTAGCCCCCAGCACACTCAGGCTTGAAGGAGAGTGTTACGATATGAAATTCAATGAGAAGGCATTCATGTATGCTGTAAGAGACGACTCTTCCGAGTATCAAGTCGAGAAGTCAGAAGAGTCGAAGAGGCACCAGCAACCGTTAGATCAAGACCGATGCAGGTAGAAACATTTGAAATGGATAGAGCGGAAACATGTTTGGAACTGGTTACCGCGCCGCACGGTTTGAACTTCGCTGTCATAAGGGAATGTACATGGCTAGTCTAGGTCGTTTCGTATTTCCTGTATTCATTATATAAACTTGATGTATGCCTACTTTTAATCATCTCAGTCATTTACATTCACTTTGATCTGAGGTCAACATTTCCGCTGCAACAATCTACCTGCGAACAACCCTAAGCCGATCTCTGGCTAAGTCCTGTTCAGGATTGTAACAGAATTTTACCACATTTCCTAGACCACGCATTGCTAGACTGGCCCGAGTCGGCTAACGCTTCGGTCTTAGAAACCAAGGTGATTAGGTATGTGGGGAGAATGGATGGTTTGACTAGTGAAGGAGGGGTACTAGTGCAAATGTTGAGATAAATCTATACCCTATAACATGCACCTCACCACAGCCTAACGGATCTAACACATATATGTATTGTATATATATAGTTTGCCACATCCCCTTGGGCTAAAGGTACATTCTGCTATTGACTTGTCTAGAAAGAAAGTATCACAAACGCTATTTGTGACTAATTGTGGTTCTCCGAAAACAATGTTCCTAACTAACTGTAATGCTCCGAACCAAGAACAGTCAAGATTTAGCCAGATGTCTTATCACGATTGGTTGGATACTTACTGTTTATGATTTTCGGCGATACACAATTATGTCAGAATAATATATATAATTCTATATATTGTTCTATAACTGCCTGTAGTGTAGGATACTGTAGTCATATAACTTTCTTGTTGGTGGTGCACCTTGCATGCTCGGTTTGCTATATGTACTCTTGTGCTATTGTGAACAACACATTCTCCTTCAAAAATTTCTCGACACTTATCCTTACCCTCGACCTCTCAACTACTAAGCTCCTAAGCTATGGCTCCTAAGCCTACTTAGTCTCTTAAGCCTACTTAGTCTCTTAACAAATTACTCACGATTATAATTTCGGAGTCACAATTCATTGGGAATACTTCTGTGACACTTTCTTTCTAGACATGTCTATAACGGAATGTACTTTAAGTGAGGGGCATCAAAACAAGCAAGGCAGCCAAATGGTCACACAACAAGTCAAGCGAAAAAAAGAACGTAAAGCCCAGACTGGATCACGAAGTTACCACACAATCTGAGCACAAGCAAGTGGCCTTAAGGCCAGTTCATGAATTCACAAATATATCATGCAACGATAAGCAGAGCAAAAAACAAGAGGCAAGACCACAGCAACTAAAGGCCTAGGTGCAAGAGTTGTACAATGTGTGTCTTGCCATTTGCGGGGAGCCTAGCCTAGCAAGGAAAGAGCCAGTGAAGCCAGACGGACGACGCAGCAAGATATGCTCGTGTAGGCTCCCTGAAGGAATGCTGTGAAGAAGTCCAAGGAGTGCAACTCGTAATCACGCTGAGCTGCAATGTGCGGCAGCACTCGAATAGTGGTTATCTTTGGGATGAAGGTCTGAAAGAAATGTACCCCCTTTTGTTGGCTGAATCCTTTTGCCGCGTAGCAGCCCTTGAATACCGGTGATGCTCCAGACGGTCGCTTCACTTTGTAGAGCCACACATGCCAATGACGACGTTCGCTCCAGGTGGTGGGACGGCGTCGACGTAGGTGCATGTGGACCTACAAAATGCCATCTTTGCCTCCTCAGCTGCTATCCAGTACGAAGCCCAGGGTCCCAAGACCGCCTCGACATGACTGCGAGGGATCGGGATGTCAAGGGCGTCTGAATCCCCCTCAGGGGCAAGAAGCATGGCGCATAGATGAGGAACAGCGGCCGCAAGGAAACCAAGCTCGAACTGCCTGTCCTCTAGGACCTCTAGAGGAAAGACAGGTTCACCCTCAGTGGATGGAGATCGAGCGGGACCGCTCACCAGGTGAGAGGCGTAGTCAAGGAGGTGGGACGAGGCAAAGCCAACGATAGTGGTAACAGGAGCCGAGACAGACAGCAGGGGGGCAGTCGAGTGAGTGATCAATGAGGACAAAACACGGGAGAAGACAGACGAAGGGCACGGAGGTAGTCAGAGAATGGGTCTGGAGACACATTGAGGGACGACTCATGAGGCTATGGAATGACCAGAGGAGGTGGAATACAAGAGCGGATGACAAGGTGAAATGGGCCGTCGGCATGGTAACGAGACCGACGATGCTCTGGAGACACAACATGAATGAGAGGAGCACGACAAAACTATGGGGACAAGGAAAGGGACTGGACAAGGGGAGCGGGAGGAGACGGTTGGGGAGCATGGACCAAGCATGCATGTGCGGGGTCGCGCAGGCCTCTCAGTCGCTACCGCTCCGCCTTCTTTGGCGTTTGCTGCTACGGCACCTGCTCCTGCTGCTGATCCGGCTGTGGCTCCTCCTCTACCCTCTCTTGCTGCGGCTACAACTGCATCTGCTGCTGCAGCCATGACTCGTCCTCTACCATCTCGTGTTGTGGCTCCAACTGAGCTAGCTATTGCGGGTGTGGATCCTCCTCTACTCTCTCCTGCTGCGGTTGCAACTGCACCTCCTGCTGCCGCCACGACTCCTCCTCCACTCTCTCCAGTTGCGGTTGCAACTAAACCTGCTGCTGCGGGTGTGGCTCCTTCACTACTCTCTCCTACTGCTGCAAGTGTGGCTCCTCCTCTACTCTCCCTGCTGCTATGATTGTGGCTCCTCCTCTATTCTCGCAAACTGTTCCTTCTCCTCCCTCTCCAACCATTGAAAACGCTGTTCACGGGTCAGGATACGCACCGTGCACGGTGTAGGTGCCAAAGTGCCAGCACCTCCGGCTCCAGCACCCCCAGAGCTAGAACCTCCACCAACAACACCCTCTATGCCTCCAGTACTTCCAGCAGGAACACCCCCAGGCTCCGCAGCGACCGGGCGCAGAGACAAACAAGGAGGGAACCGCGGAACAAAAAGGAAGCCATGGGGTGAAGCAGGGCGAGGCCTCCGACTCGAGGCAGCTGTGTCCTCCACAAGAGGGGCCTTCACGCCCACACCCCATGCACCCCCAGAGCTGACACCCCTAGCTCTAGCAGCCCCAGTACCCTCACCTTCCGCAGCTGCACCTCCCACACCCCCAGACACGACAAGGACTGGACGACTGCAGAGTGACGTGCGACACACCCGTCGGGGCAGGACGCAAGGGGAGAGGGTGGGGAAGGGGGGGGGGGGAGGCTACTGGGGCGACTTGGGGGGGCTTAGGGATTAGGACAGCGGAGGGCAAAAGGCCTCAGAACTTCGGTGGGGGCGAATCCTGTAGTAGCAGACCGACTTGGCGTAAGTGACGTCCTGTGAACTGAAGAACTAACAGGTGACCAGGTCGTAGAATAGCCAGTCGGAGACGTCCAGAGGGAAACCATGGAAGATGCAGGCACGAGTGTGAGCATGCAACTTGTTCGTGCTAGGGATGCAAACCTGGGCCACGGAACCCCAGACGCGGTAGTCTGCTGCTACGCCCCGAGACTCTGTCTAAAAGGGAGACCCGCGTCACCCGTGGCTGTGCGTCACTAGACCACAGGTTCAGTTGGTGCGCGACATAGCGGGCTGCCTGAGGCCAGCATGGCACATGGAGGTCCGGGCAACCTCCACGACCAAGTCAATGCGTTGCTCAGTGACCCTGTTCTCCTGACGAGTCTGGTAGCGTATAAGACTGGGTGATCCCCTGACCCTGACATAGCACCTCTAAGCAAGTGGAAGCAATCTCGACACCACTGTCCAAGTGTAGCCATAGCCCACAAAGGCCTTGGGTGCCACCCCTCGCTATTAGCCACGGCTCAAGGACGGTAGGCACATTGCCAGGGAAACACCGTGGTGTAGTGAGAGAAGTCGTCCACCACAATCAGGAAAAAGCGCTCATGGCTTGGGCCAAGGATCAGGGTTTGTAAGGGAGCCATGGTAGGGGGGAACGAGGAGAGTGAGGGGCAGCACGCTGCTGCCTTTCGACGCAAGGGGTGCATGGCGGTGCAGGCGAGCGGGGAAGCAGGGCGAGAGACGCAGGGATGTCCAGCATGAAGGTGTGCAAAGCCTCCGTAGGAACTGCACCTGTGCCAGCAGTCTCACAAGCACCTACACTAGCAGCCTCTACATTACCAGATGTAGGCATACACGAATAATGGTTGCCCTCAGCATTTGCACCAGCAGCATACATGCCAGCGTAGATCAGGTCCCGATCAAGAAAAAAATACATCTACGTCCTTGAGCAATCCTAACCAGTCACGAATCTTTGCCTGCTCACCAAACTCCGCTTGAAAAGCGTCGTCAAGGAGGTAGAAGCAGCAAGCCTCAGTGTGCCCCAGCCTGCCGCAGACCTCTCCATGGCAGGGACGCGTGCGCCGGACGTACTGGCAGCGACCTCCGCCTCTTGGGCCGCCTCGCTTGGCAACCCACTCTCGAAGCTGCTGCGGCAAGAGAATCTCCTGCCGGCGTGACTGCTACTACTGTGCACCCCAAGAACGTCCGCCTCCACCAGCTGCACCACCAGACGCAGCTCCTCGGGAAGCCATACCCGAGCCTCCACCCCCCCCAGCTCCACCCCGACCGCCAAATGCGCCCCCTCCACCACCCCACTGCCCCCACCACCCCTGCCACCTCCACCGCCACCACCACCTCCGCCACCCCCACCATCACCACTGCCACCATCCCCGCCACCGCCACCGCCACCTCCACTACCCCCACCACCCCCACCCTTAGTACGCGCACCCCTGCCGCGGCACCTCCCACTAGGAGCATACACAGCACCGACCTCCTCAGCACCAAGGAATTGAACGGTAGCAGCAGAGGCAACAGAAGGAGTGAGAAGAGAGGGGGAGCACCCCTCAAAGAGGGAGGGGAGGGGAGTGCCACAGGAGGCAGCTATAGCGCATGCACTGGTCTCGTCCTCAAGGAGACGAGACTCAAACGAGGCAAGGGTGAGCTCAGTGGGGTCTATGGAGAGGAAGTGATCTCGAACGATGCGAAGAGAGTCAGGGAGGCAAGTCACGAGGAAGTAGAGAGTGGGATACATAGGGGGCTGGTTCTCAGCCATAAACTCTAGCTTGAGAGCAGTACGGTAGCGCGTGACAAGGGAGCGCAGCTGAGTCAAGAGGTCGGCTATATTGGTGAAGTAGAACAGCTCAAGGAAGGGAAACGACAGCGCAAGACCGCCTAGGGTGGCAGAAGAGGGGGAGGAGTAGCGCTTAACTACAGTGTCATAGAGTGCTTTGGCCGACTTCAGCTGGTGAAAATGGGGCATCTAGTCGGGCGGGAGGAAAGAGCGGAGTGCAAGCCCGGTTGTGGCCCTCGCGTGCCACCCACCGTGTGCGAGCAACGCAGTCAGTCCTAAACTGCAGTTGCAGAGTCTCAGTAGCGGTAGGGCTAGGGTCAGTCGTCTCAGATGGGGCTAAAAGGGACCCCGATGTGTGCTCAAGAAGCGAGCCATCGTCCTTAGTTACGCTCTGCAGGTACAGGTGAAGGTCCTCTAGCCATGACTCGTACCCGAGCCTTCTGAGTCAAAGGTCTGTACAGCGACAGTCACCATGGTAAGCGGCACAGCTTAGCGGTAGCGGTGCGGCGCACAGGCGGCATTAGCAGTGCAAGGGCGGTAGCGGCTGTGGTGCGGCGTACAAGCAGCAACTGCGCACGGACAGTGGCGCTCGGGGCAGCGGCACGCGAGGCAGCGGCGTGCGGCGCAGCGGCGCACGAGGCAGTGTGGTGTGCTGTTCAATGTCGTGTAGGGCAGCGATGTGCGAGGCAGTGATGCGCGGGGCAGCAGCGCGTGGAGCAGCATGACGCGGGCCAGTAGGGCGCAGGGCAGCGCCGTACGGGGCAGCGGGGCGCGGGGCAGCGGGATGCAGGACAGCTGCTCGCACGGTGCAATGGCGCCTGGGGCAATAGCGCGTGTGGTAGCAGTGCGCGGGGCAGCAAAGCACACGTGGTGCAGGGCAAGGCAGCGCGCTCATGGTAGGGCAGGGCAGGGAAGAGTGTGCAGGGCAGGGCAGCGTGGTAGCGTGGGGCAGTAATGGGCAGTAGGAACGGGGAGGACCTAACCTACTCAATGATACCATGTTGAGTCAAGAAACTGTGGAATGAATGTGACTACCAAAGGTTGGGTACATATAGCAAACCCTACAAATCATACCCCCTATAGCTAACCTCACCATAACATGAACAATAATATGCATATATGTTTGATACGCGCCACTCGTAAGCAACACGCACTGCTGCTGCCCTAGCCCACATAGACGCGTGCGCCGCATCAGCAACACTCGCAGGAGCACGCACTGCTGCAGAAACACACGCGATAGTGCATAGCCGCCCACATCCCCTCCTAGCCGCCTACAGCCCCTTCCTAGCCGCCCACAGCCACAGCCCCTTCCATCCGCCCACAGCCCCTTCTAGCCGCCCACAACCCCTTCTAGCCGCCCACATCCCCTTAAGGTTGCCCACAGCCTCTCCCAGCCACGAAGTCTCAATCCAGCTGCCATCTGCCGCACTACAAGCTGCCAGTAAAACCAATAACTCATGCAGTTTCTGCAGCACTAGCCACCATTAGTGGTACCTGTGTCCATTGTCTTGCATACGCCAACTGGCATAGGCACCTCTAGCAGCGGCTGATAATTGCAGTCACTTCTACTGGCGGAAATTAGGGTTTATACCCCGCCCTGACTGGCATTCCTAGCCCGCCTTACCTAGCCTACCGTTCCTAGTCTGGAGTTTCTTTGCCTGGCGTTCCTAGCTCTGCTCGCTCCTCCCTCCGGCCGTTCCTAGCCCAAGAGTTCCTCGCTCCAGCCATTTCCAGCTCCAACCGTTCCTTGTGCCAACCGTTCGTAGCTCCAGTCGCTTCTAGCTCCAGCCTTTCCACGCTTCAGTTGTTTCATGCTCCATTAGTTTCTAGCTCCAACCGCTCCTAGCCTGGTGCTCCTAGTCATTAATAGCTCCAGCCATGTCTCACTCCGGCTGATCCTCATTCTGGCCGTGTTCAGTTTCAGCCACTCCTCGCTCCAACCGTTCCTAGCTCCCCGCTGTTCCTAGCGCTAGTCTCTCCTAGCTCCAATCGTTTCTAGCTCCAGTTGTTTCTACCTCCGGCAGTTCCTTGCTCCGGCCGTTTCTAGCTCTTGCCGCCCCTACGCCATGCCATGGCGTCTAATGGAGTTCTGCAATCGCACGCGGCCGTAGTCCCAGCACTGGGGGTCTAGTGGTCTGAGGGATGTCGGCCCTAGCAGCGGCCCAGCCATCTAGGGGCTTTCTGCGGTGGTCGCGACGTCGGCCCCTGCCAGTACCGGATTTTGACAAGCCCTTATGCTGGCACTACCTGTAACCATCCTAACCACTATGCGGTGCACTGCTTCAGTCCCCTTGAGGACCTCTACCATGAGCGTTTCAGGACTGATTGGTTCCCCCTGTGCCGACAGGTCTGCTTCGCGGTGGTTTCCCTTTGTATGAACTGTGGATATATCATATTCACTCCGTTGTGTTTCCAGATGCCCCTAGTACTGTCGGATATGTTTGTTTGCGTGTACCTAGCTATAGATCTTTGCCTATTGCTAGTGTAGGTGCTTGTGTTTCTAGCGTAGGTGCTTATGTAATTACTAGCCCGGGTGCGACAACTACTGGCGCGGCTCTCTCCTTCACACTTGACTCCAAAGTGTTGTAGTGCTTCTTCTGCGACCACACCACTGTCACGCCACTTTCTGCATCGGTCTCAGTAGCTTTGGGTGATCCCACTTCTGGACCAGACGTTGCTTGCAATTCTACTATGCTACCGTGTTCAAACATCCCCTCTGGTTCTATGAGGATCTAGGATCGAGCTTAGGAAAGAGAGTTTGAATTCAAAGATCCACCTGGGTACAACACGAGGCTTTTTATAGCCTTGACACAAGGCCAGTAACCCAGGTGTTACGCGAAGGTTCTGAGGGTCGCGAAGCGTCTCGAACAGAGCCTTCTCGAATTCGGTAGAAGGCAATTTGGTGGCAACCGAAAAGCCCAGAATTCGGTGCACGCAACCTGGTTTGGTGCTTTAACTATAGTAACATATAGGAATGCACCTAACCTAGGAGATCAAGCATAAATGTGCATGATAAATAAAACCCAAGCTAGAAAAAAGTTCAAGCAAGCTAGCAAAGTCACCATAAGCCGTCGTACTCTCATAAGTTCCCTCGCCGGTCTCCACATCCCCTTGTTCTCTAGGATCTCAGTAGGTGTTGGACACCTTTAGGACTGCAGAGTCACAATCACGTTTCCCACACAAGAGAGGTTTTGCGACCTTTACGAACGCTTCCACAGGGGCACTTCTTGCGACCTTCTCCCAGGAGGCCCACTCAGGTCTCTTCACACTGCATGCTGCATCCCCCCAGGTAGTTGCGTCGTGCTACTGTCGGACACTTACCCACCCGAGAGTCCTCTAGCACCATCGTCGAAGTCAACCTTTACTTCCACACCTTCGTCACATGTCTGGCCACGGTCTTGCCTCAGGTCTCCCGTCCTTCCCTCCATTGCTTGCGCTGCCGTGCACTCCTTGCGTCGAGGGTCAGCTGCACGCCACCCCTCACTCCTCCTCCCTTGCACCTACCGCTGCACTTTTCCAAACTCTGCACTTGGACGTCTGGGGGCCCTCCCGAGTCATGGGGCCAGGTGGTGAGATGTTCTTCCTCGTTGTTGTGGACCACTTCTTGTGCTCCACCACGGTGTTTCCTCTGCAGCAGAAAGCCGGCGTGCCTGATGCTCTGATCCCATGGTTACTGGCCACTGGCGCCCAGCGCTCCCTCTCTGGGGATGTGTCTCCATTCCGACCATGGAGGCGAGTTCCGCTTTCGTGTTCTTACCATTTTTTTTCACGAGCAACGCATCACTCAGTCCTTCACGCTTCCGAACTCGACCCCATGCAGTTTGCTACACCGCACACCAGCTGAACCTCTGGCCGCGTGTCTCTCGCTCGAAGGTTTCACTGACCTGTCTCTAGATTTGGTCTCATGGTGTCGCGTTGGACCTTTGTGTCTGGGGCTACCTTGCACATGTTCGCGATACCAATGTGGACAAGCTCTCGACTCACACACTCCCCTGTGTCTTCCTTGAATTCCCAGTTGGCGCCCTTGACTTCACGTTTTACCACCCGCCCCTCCACCGGTTTTCAACCCCCATGACGCCACTTTTGACGGGTATGTGTCCTTCTTTGTCCGGTCTCCCCACAGCGGTCTCCCGGTCCCCCCCCCTTCCCCAGTTTCTTGCTCCCACTTCTCCTCTTGGTCTTGCTCCTCCGATAGCCCCACCCCACCCAGGTCCTGCCCCGTCAGGGGTGTCTCATTCCACCCCTCCCCCCTAGGTAGCACGCGAGGTGTCATCTCCTTCACCACAGTCCCCCTCGTCAGCTTCACAGTCACCGCAGCGGCCTTTGGTACTACCATGGCAGGTTGCAGTGGAATCTAGGTGTGCTGCCACTGGAAGTGCTGGTGCTGGAGGTGCTTGTTTTGAGGGAACTACTCTCGGGGGTGCTGGAGCTGGAGGTACCGGCACAGGATGTACTAGTTCTGGGGGTGCTGGAGCTGGAGGTGCTCGAGTTGAGGGTACTTGAGTTGGCAGTACTAGCACTCAAGGTGCTTGTTCGAGGGGGTGCTGGAGTTGGAGGTCCTGGCATTGGAGGTGCTGGTTCTAGGAAAGCTGGAGTTGGACGTGCTGGTTAAAGGGGTGCTAGTGCTGGAGGTACTATCGCTGGAGAAAATTGTTCTTGGGGTGCTAGAGCTGGAGGCACTGGTTCTACGGTGCCTGCATTGGCTGGCCACCATTACCCGACGAGGTTCCAGCATCTATGGCAGTAGGTGCAGCAAAAGCAGTAGCAGTAGCAGCGGCGACAACGGCAGCGGCAACGACAGCGGCAGCAGACTTGGCAGCGGCAGCGGCAGCAACCTCGGCACAAGCAGCACTAGCAGCCACAACAACAGCAGCAGCAGCAGCGATCGTCGCCACCTATGAGTGGTCTTTGGACTCTTGCTTACTGACCGCTTCTCCCCACCGCTCGCCGTCTACGTCATCGCTACCTGTGTGTGATCCCACGTTTCCTCCTACGGAGGCGTCTCCGGCTCGTTCTCCTCCTTGGTCGTGTCTGTCACCCCCTTCCGTTGCTTCTCTATCTCTATCCTCTACTCCATGGTCCCGTCGTTCTCTCGATCATCTCCTATCTCAAACCTCCACTCTCTTCTTCTACGTTTTCTTCCTCCTTGTGTTCCACTTCCGACTGTTCTCCCATCACATCCTGCGTCATCTCTCAATGTTTCCTCCTTTCCTCTTTCTGACTACTTCCGTACCTCTCGCCCTATTGTCTCCAGTATCATCTCCCTGTTGTCTGTGTCAGCTCTTGTCGCCACTGTCACCGACTTTGCCTCCACCTGCCGCCTTGACTACGCCACCTGTTTGGTGGCTGCTCCTCCTACCTGTCCTCTGTCTGTCAGGGGTGAGTTTGCCCTTCGTTGTAACACCTTAGAGGATGGTAGTTT